AACTATAATTTAACAACTGTTTTTAGCCATGTTTATTTCAGAGACTAGATGTTAGTCAAGGTTAAATATCAAAATGCTTTAAGTTATTTATGCGCAGAATCCAACCTCACGTTCAACCAATCAGATTGCAACACATACACATTCGTTTTACAATGCAGTAAACACCGACGTGGACGTGCAACTCCCAGGTGCTGCAGTCCGGGCGCCTCTCCCATTCAAAGATTGTATTCCAATCGCGTGGAGTTTATTCATCAGGCTCCTGTTACTGGGAATTTACGATAACACCACCTGAACGAGTAGGCCATCAACTCAGATTTATCAGCACTGCGTCCATTTTCAACAGTTCACAAAGAACAGACTTGTAAATACAATACCGTGTCATGGCACTGGGGTTGAACGTCAATACGTCGATACAGGAAGAAGCACTATGTTGTTTATGTAGATTCGTGCTTGACGCGACCGCCTCCGTGGTGTAGTGGATAGAGTCTGTCCGGAGAGCGTAAAGTCGGTGTTTCTATTCCCTGGCAAAAGACGCAAATAATGGTACTTGGTACTCGTCGGCTAGGAGACAGGTATTCTGTGTCTGAGTGGGGTATTCATGCTAAAAGTCCGGACTAGTACAAGCAGCCTAGTCCACACACACGTGTATGCACGTCACTATATAAGTGCAATAATTTTGAACGCGATTATCATGTAAATGAAGGCACTTATCATATAACTATCCTTTTTAATTTGTTTTCTTGTTGATATTTCATTACATTATAAAAATCTGAAAGCAATATACATACATACATTTATTTTTTGTGCCCAACTCCTTTCATGGGACAAAATGTTTAAATTAAAACAAGGTTGCCTTGCTGCTTGTAGTTATGATTAGTTTCGGTAAATATATCCTTAGTGTCATCATGTTTGACCGAGTAGATGGTGAATGAAGCCAAGATATTGTTAGTGTCATCATGTTTGACTGATTAGATGGTGAACAGAGCCAATGTATCGTTAGTGTTATCAAGTTTGAGTAACTAGATGGTGAATAAAGCCAAGGTGTTAGTGTTATCAAGTTTGAGCAACTAGATGGTGAATAAAGCCAAGGTGTTAGTGTTATCAAGTTTGAGTAACTAGATGGTGAATAAAGCCAAGGTGTAAGTGTTATCAAGTTTGAGTGACTAGATGGTGAATAAAGCCAAGGTGTTAGTGTTATCAAGTTTGAGTAACTAGATGGTGAATAAAGCCAAGGTGTTAGTGTTATCAAGTTTGAGTAACTAGATGGTGAATAAAGCCAAGGTGTTAGTGTTATCAAGTTTGAGTGACTAGATGGTGAATAAAGCCAAGGTGTTAGTGTTATCAAGTTTGAGTAACTAGATGGTGAATAAAGCCAAGGTGTTAGTGTTATCAAGTTTGAGTAACTAGATGGTGAATAAAGCCAAGGTGTTAGTGTTATCAAGTTTGAGTGACTAGATGGTGAATAAAGCCAAGGTGTTAGTGTTATCAAGTTTGAGTGACTAGATAATGAATAAAGCCAAGGTGTTAGTGTTATCAAGTTTGAGTTACTAGATGGCGAATAAAGCCAAGGTGTTAGTGTTATCAAGTTTGAGCAACTAGATGGTGAATAAAGCCAAGGTGTTAGTGTTATCAAGTTTGAGTGACTAGATGGTGAATAAAGCCAAGGTGTTAGTGTTATCAAGTTTGAGTAACTAGATGGTGAATAAAGCCAAGGTGTTAGTGTTATCAAGTTTGAGTGACTAGATGGTGAATAAAGCCAAGGTGTTAGTGTTATCAAGTTTGAGTGACTAGATGGTGAATTCATACCCTACCAAGAGTGTAGAATTAAATCACAACTGGTAATATATTTTGTTTAAAAATATGTTACAACTTGGCTGGTATTCCAGAAGTTGATTGGTTATTACACAAAGTGGTATTGCTGAGAGCGTCTTTAAGTGAATGACACTGTTGTTTAAAAGTTGCGATGTAATTTCATGTACAAGCATTCTAATCAATAACAGGTTCCTGCATCGAACGCTTCTAAGTGTAAATAAAAGAGCCTAGCCTATTGTCACTATCCTAAAGCCACAATTGGACACAAGGGGTATAGATACATCTGTTTCTGTTATCACCAGAAGACAAAAGCCCTAACGATCGAAAGTCATCTCCTTACATTACACGATGTTGAGTGGACAATGCATATACCGGAGCTGCATGACAACGTGTAAACAAATCTTGTCTCATTAACATATCGACCAAGCACTCGAATATCGATTTTAGAAATGTCTGGCAGCTCCTACGCTTATATCACATGACGTTGTTGTTTTTTTAAATAATGAATGAGCTTCAGATCCGTAACTTTATATAGCCCATCGTGTAGGTTTGATAATCCCCATGAAACTGACAGCACGACATTCCTTGAGAGTGTATGCATATACCAAGCATACAAAGAGAGAAGACTTTGTTTTCCCACTCTTGAATTTCAACGTCTTGTTGAGCAATACCATCAACTCCAGTTTATGGCGTCCACATTTCTCAATTGCATAGTTTCTGGGTACTTTAGAGCATGTACATGTTTGTTATGTTCCACGGAAAGATACAATGTTCGTACAACTAAGCTTTCCAATCAAGGTTCAGCCATCAACGGCCTGGTTAAGTATTTCAAGAAATTGTATGGTAAAATTTACAGAATAGGACAAGTCGCGTGTCCACAAGAAGAATGTTGCTATCCATGTCATGACCTTTGTGATGAGGTGTCACACCTCTGACTCACATGCACCCTCTCTTTCAATGAAATTTATGTTGGTGGGGGTGTTTCTCCTAGAGAAGGACATGCTTACCGTTTTCGCGAACACTTGGCGCCCTCACTGATTTCAGAGATCCTTTGAGATAATTTTCATAACTTTTTTTTTCTTTTACGCCCTATGGAATCTGTTTAGGCAGATATTCACGAATGATTAGTCTCTGGCGGTGACATTTCGAATTTGCAGAAAAACTGATGCAAATATACACCAGAAATTTCCTGTATGGCGTTCATATGGCGTGAATCACTAAGATCCAAAGTATTCTTTAGCGCTTGCACCTTGTACTCTATTGGTTCTACAAGTTTGTAAGATGTACCTCGTGAACATACATCACGATACTGGGTGGAGTGTGTGGGTTTGGTTTTGAACCACTTTTAACAATAATCCATTCGATATCACGGCGGGGAACATGTAGACTTTGGCATCGCTCACTGTACCCATTCGGGAAATCGAGCCCGAGGTTTCGGGGTGACGAGAGAACTCTCCCCTACCACACCCTGCTTGGGAAGACAATGAGAACGTTTCGTCTTTGTAAACCATCTGGAAAAAGCAGTGAGTGAGTTTGTCTTGTCCAGATTCGATTATTTGATCTGAGTGCGGTGTTTAGCAACAAGCAAACAAAACAAGCTATATCAGACCGACCAGGATGAAATGATGAAGAGAAAAATCAACGACCCATATCCCTTGGGCATGACACAAAGCCAGCCAATATTTCACCTTTTTTGTTTGTTTGTTTGTTTGTTTGTTGTTTAACGCTGCGCTCAGCAATATTCCAGCTATATGACGGCGGTCTGTAAATAATCGAGTCTGGACCAGACAATCCAGTGATTGACATCATGAGCATCGATCCAAGCAATCGGGATACGATGGCACGCATCAACCAAGTCAGCGAGCCTGACCACCCGATCCCGTTAGTCGCCTCTTACGACAACCCGTGAAGATTCCGGGTTAGAATAGGTCTCCAGCAACCCATGCTTGCCGTAAAAGGTGACTATGCTTGTCGTAAGAGGCGACTAACGGGATCGGGTGGTCAGGCTCGCTGACTTGGTTGATGCATGTCATCGATCCCAATTGCGTGGATCGATGCTCATGATATCAACCACTGGATTGTCTGGGCTAGACTCGATTATTTACAGACCGCCGTCATATAGCTGGAATATTGCTGAGTGCGGCGTTAAACACAAACCAACCAACCAACCAACCAACGACAAGCATAGTCGCTTATTTCACCTTGTAACCACCGAATACTTGTGTTTGGTCCCCACAAACATACATATAGGTACATCGGACATATTCTACCTAAATCCCAAGGGGTCCACGGTATGTTAATTGTTCAGGCAATCCCCATTTATCACTCACGATAACAATGCCAGATGTTCACACTAGGTTAAATTACCACTTAAACAGGATGTCATTGTTGAGGTAATTGCAGGTGAAACAGTGTAGAATACATAATTATCTACGTTGTCAAGTATGAACAATCACATTTGACTTCGTGATTGATCATGATTCGTATACTAGATAACACTACGTGTACATTTAATGAATTCCAACCTAGAACAGAGCCAATGTATGGCATTATTAGTAATGAATATAATACGTACATGTGTGGAGCAAATCCATAATTCATTCCTTCCTCTATAGCCATTGATCATATCGATTTATCGTGGATCGTGTTTCTTATATCAGACAACCTAAAGACAAATTTATTTTGTCATACTTTGTACTCACTGAAATGCATTGAAGTAGGAAAAGTTAATATTTATGTTTTACATGTTTATGATAATCACTCAAAATGTTTATCGGGCATCTGCGCTTCACTTTAAATCCTGGGCGTCATTTTAATTCTTAATAAAACTACCTTTCAAATTCCCCGCCTCAGATGAAGCAAACTTTGCAGTCAACTGATATTGTATTAAATGCCAAGTTCGCCGTGTGTCCATTTGTGTTTTCTCGGTATTCTTTTGGGAAAAGAAGGTTCCAGCTTAATCACCTTTGTTTAAAAAATATATATATTAAAAAAGCACTCCCTCCCGCCTAACGTTTGAGATAAATGTGCCGGAGAGACGTTTCTTTTTATGCAGACGTAGGAAACGTCTTTTATGCGCGAGTGATCTGTCCCAAAGGCGATATGGATATAATCCTCCTAGATTTGCGAACTGCAAACATACCGTTTCTCAAAGAACAATACCAGCATCTCTCTCTTTTCTCCAATAGAAAGCAGCGGCGGTGACAGCAGTCAGCAGAACGCTATCGACCGCCTGTCCGTGGTGTTCGACAGAATCTACGGCTCGGAGTATCGAGCTGCCAGACGTCTCATCCACAAGCGACTGCGCCAAAAGGATATGGGTTCGCCAGGGAAGAAGCCCCCTGCACAACGAGACAACAGCCTCTATCTACGAATCATGGCGTTTAGACATAAAGAAGTAAGTAAAGGTTGTTGTGTATGTCAGTTTGTTTTTGTGTATTGTGTTTGAGGAGACAATATGTGGGAGTTCGGCCACATGACGATATATCCGCCTTAATGGTTTGATGGCTGGGTGAATATGATATATTGCAGCTCGGGTGGAAACACTCTCGTAGAATAAGAAAACAAAGAGAAGTAAGGATACTTTATAAATAAGGTTAAAATATATTACTTTAAAGGGTAGAAAATAAGAAATGTACAGTTTGTATTTGTAATAGTTTGACACTATTGGGATCAGTTAAATTGAAATGTTAATAGAAAACTTCGTTTGTTTGTTTTATTGATGCCGTGGGTTATCCGTGTGGCACTGTCACGTGATTTGTCAATGAATTAAACAATAATACATGTATGTCGTATTAAGAAACGTTGTCAGCAGTAGGTATATCTAGAAACAGTTACTATGTTTGTCAATGAAGAACAAATATATGTAGAACATACGTTGATGTTGAAACCTTGCACTGAGCGACCACGCGGATCTTCGATACTTTCACTGCTACTGAATTCAAGGACTTACTTTATAATGCTTTCCTTGAGTAATTCATATGTATATAGTTATTTGGAAGTTCCACTAGCACGACCATAATTCTACATCTGTGTAAACCTTATAACTTAAAATTACTATACGTATTAAGTTACATCTAATTGTCAAAGGGGGCACGGGTGGCCCAGTCGTCTAAGGCGCCGCAGAATTGCTTCCCTTGGGCACACCTTAAACCTATGATTGTGGGTTTGAATTCCGGTTCACCCCGATTATGTTTTTAGGTTTGTCAGCACCATACCCGTGCTCGTGGGTTTCACCGAAGTGGTAAACGTCTGGGACCTTCATCACTTCGGGCCCACATTAAGCTGACATACCGTGATATAACTGGAATAATGTTAAAAGCGGCGTTAAACCCAATTCACTCACTCTAATTGTCAAATGAGACCAAGATCGATTTATGAAACGTTGACCAAGGCTTCTGTAGATTCTTGATTGACGGGACACTTATTGAGGGTTTATCTCTACGTTCACTGTGTCTCTGTAACTGACAACAATGCAACAACGATTTTAAACATACCAAACTGTACACAACTGACGCTACACTGTTACCTGTTCCGATATAGATCTGCTTGTTACACGAAGTGCCAAATGTGAACATTGAATATTGAGTGTAATCATTAACCACAAGATTAATACACTACATAACATTTGTGCTAATAGTGTTTGTGAACGACTTATATAAAACGTGTTGGGACTGCCAACCAAATAGGACCAAACTCCTTTAGTATTGCATATACATGTGGATGAGTGAGTGAGTGAGTTGGATTTTACGCCTTTTTTTTAGCAATATTCAAGCAACATCACGGCGGGGGACACCAGAAATGGGCTTCACACATTGTACCCATGTCGGGAATCGAACCCGGGTCTTCAGCGTAACGGGCAAACGCTTTAGCCACTAGGCTACCCCAGCACCCCTACATATGGATGATATTACGTTCTGTGAAACATTAACCCAAGGGTAGCTTCATACACAAATATATAACTAAGCATATCAAATATATATATAACGTTAACGCCAGAGAATAGGGCGTAAAAGGCAAAATAGTTGGGAAATTTGTATAAAATGATCACTGAAAATCAGGGATAATACCAGGTGGTCTCAAAAACGGGAAGCACGCCCTGCTCTACCGGTAGCACCCGCCACTCGCACAATGTACATAAAAAAGTAAGTGCAAGTCACCTAGATGTCGTTTTAACAATATTAGCATCGACAATGGGTATTCTATGAACACAACATCATGTATGCAGCAATGTCACCTGCTATGATTTGTGTTATGCATGCCGAAAAACGTACTGTAATATGTCCTGTCATTTTTCATATAATTGTATTAAGAGTCGGTTTAATGTTATGGTGCAATCTACTGTATGCTGGATCTAGAAAGCAATGTCCTGCGAATAATGAAATCATATTTCTATTTAGCCTTGAGGACCGTAGCCAAATAGCCTTTACGGCTCCTCTATACAGAAACCTGCGTTATAAAATACCTTTACAAATAACCGCCTTTATGTTCAGCGAACACTGCTTTGTAACTTTCAACAATAAACCACTGAGCCTCGATGGGGCGTGTTATTAGTTGTTGAAACCGAGAATGCAAACAATGATTGAAAACTCTATTGATATGGCTACTTTGTCCATACACGTTTTGCTGGGGGCGATTGGTATGTTACGCTGGAACACCATGCACTATGGATTACTATGACTAACAGGTATCTGTGTTTTACTTCATAACGTATACAACAGACTACACTTTTGTACAATACCTTTGTATATCGATACATCAGCGATCAAAGATTGTCATATACACCTAGTCAAGAGCTATTGAATGAACGCTCTTTGTGTACAGTGGTGTACTATGTAGATATCAATACTGAATTTGGCTTACATTTGTACAGTCATCTACAACATGCCAACTCACATTCGTACAAAAGGTCGTTGGTACATATCCTGTCTTACAGATACCTCTGTGTTTGCAGGAAAGGTTGTAAAGTGAGTTTGTTTTAGATTCTGTCCATGTTATAGATGCGTCTAGGAGATGCGTTGATAATTCTTGCTTGTGGCCATATTATTAGTCCCAGGTTAATGAGTACATGCATGTTTAACCACTCAACCATACAATGTCAGCCTTGATACTTACGTACTAATTTCGGTAAAACTGGTTAATGCATTCCATGGCAGCAGTTTAAATACAACACAACGTGGGATTATATGTTTCTTTAGTGTTTTGATGGAGATGCTGATTTTTCTATTGTTACTATTCATACAAATTTACACGTTGTAAACAATCGGTTTGTAACATGGTCTAACAGAAGTTTGTTTGTTTGTTGTTTAAGACTTAAAAACATTTCAGGTGTACGATGGGGCTAATAGAATTTTCACTATCAAACGTTGAGTTAGATAAATGCTGTAATAGTATCCGATAATTAAACAGTTCTGATGTTAATGTATGAAAACAGCCAATTAAGATCTGGTTACAAAAATAAAACCATGGTGAAAGAATGGATTTGGTCGGCTCAAATGCATTGCTCTTGGGAATCGTGATTAACCCTTTAACGGACATATCCGTGTTGCAATCTCTATGCACGATGGTATTGATTGAGTTCCTTTACGGCGGCACAACTGACACAATGATGCATAATGCCACGTTTGACATGACAACAGCATGAGCTGTTAATCATTACTTTCAGACGGATCACCCGAGACGAAAATCACTTACGCATTTTTCTTCGTATGCTGCTGTTAATCTTTAACTGATCAAACACAAATGCAGATAAAGTTGTCTTAGGATCTACGTGGTGTTCTTCGCACTTATTCCACTCAAGTAACGCGTCAATAAGATGATCGTTTCATCCCAAATTTACAATATCAAAATATTTTCCAATAACTATGGCAATATCGACAAGCCCACAAGGCCTTTTATCCAACTATCGACTGAGTCCTGTCTGCAGCATCCCAGGTTTCCATCGAGCTGCCGGAATCTGTCGATATGTTTCTATCTTGCACTGTTAGGACGTAAATACAAGATGCATGGTAGACAAAAGTCCAAAACCATTAAGCTTTTCATGTTCAGAAAAAATAGGCTTATTCAGATGGTTCCAATGCTGAAGAGCTTTGCAACTTTGCTCCTCTTGTTTGTTTTTTCTCCCAGATGTTTTTTCTCCACAATGTCTGGAAAATTGGATTCATGAATAATATAACAAACAATTTCATGACAATTTGGACATGCCCTGACGTGAAATCGTTCTTTTAATAGGGACATAACGTATTTTCTGAAGTATATCCGTTGTGTATACCGTGTGCAGTTGAGATGGGGTTTAACGGCGCGTCCAAGATTATTGCGCTTATATAGCGACGTGCATGCACGTGTTTGTCTGTGGCTGCTTGTACTAGTCCGGACTGATGCCGATTTATAGTGCTAGCCCACTGAGATACCATGTCGCAGTTTAACATGAATACCCCACTCAGACACAGTATATCGACTCCGAACCGACCTGTCATTGCTTAAGCCCCTTACTGCCGAGCGCCAGACAGGGTAACAACAAGTACCCTCTTTTGACGTCTTTTGGGATCGAACCCCGTCCCTTCCGCTCTCCGGGCGGACGCGCTATTAATAGACCACGGAGGCAGTATCGTGTGCAGATGAGGGATCGTAACTATATGTGTATATTTGGTATATGCATTGCAGTACACTATAATGTATGATATAAATATGACAGTAACATTTAAACATATTTTGCAGGTTGACATATTTTTTTCATCATAACTACGTGTGTGATTCTCTTCATCTACTCTTAAACCCTAAGAACATGTTCTCATCAATACTTCTGCGTTAGGGATGCGTCTATCATTTGACAACAGATTCCATTCCGGTGAATGAATTCTGATACACCAGGGCCCCTTTCAGACAGAGCTGAATATATTACCCAATATTCCGCTTTCTTCTTTTAATAGCTACTAATTTGTTTCTTCAGAATGGATAGCCGTAAATATTTATTTTTGGAAGAAATAAAGCAATTCACGGAAGACAGGTTCTCATATTTTAAGAAATAAAACAAACTCGTTACAGGCGATCTTTGACTCAAGAAACGTGTCTATTAGTTTTTCATTTCAGAGTGATGAACATTAGTTCCACATTCCAATGCAGACAGGTTATGTTCTAGTATCTTTGTTAGTTGTTCATCGACGCACTAAACAATATTCCAGCTAAATGTCGATGGCATGTACATAATCGAGACTGGACCAGGCAAACCAGTGACTGATATCGTGATATCTGATATCCATGCAGAGGGAATGCAATGATAAACAAAGTCGTATGTCATCTCATACATAAAATGTTGCTAAGGACCATTTCTAGCCCACTTGCATGACATAAAACAGCTGTGTTATACCTAAATGTTTTATTTTGTTTATTTTCTATTTCAGTCGCCTGGGACATCTCCACAGCCTTCTGGAGACGCGGTAATGTATTTGACTCTACATTCCCGCTATGAGGTCCCCGTGTATGTAGGGCAACCATCAGAAATATTGATCTCGATACATTTTACCGTTTTATTATTAGTTATGAGAACTGCTGTGATCCCAATGAAGTTGTTCTTTCTCAGTGTTACGGTTGTATTTGTTTTAAAAAAATCGGAAATTCTACTCCTGATACATACACTTTGATGCGTTTGATCTTGAGATAACGCTAACTATTACTCTATTGATAAATTGTAAGTAGTTTTGAGAGGCAAGCGATGAACAAATTAGCCGTTCGCCCGTCAAAACGAAGGGTCGTGTTCAATTCCCCACTTGAGCTCAATTACTGAAGCCGCTTTCTGTGACCCCGCCATGATGTCGCTCACTCACTCACTCTTCACATAATGAACATATAACAAGAAAATCATTTGTGGGTTAGGCGTAAACCCAATTTTCGCAGGTGTGGCACAGATCTTTATTATATGCACAAATAGAATTATCTTCGAACATACTTTGATTAATTACATTGGTTGATCATTGTGAAATAGTGAAATCGAATGGATCACATCAAAAAGTTAATCGTAAAAATGAATAAAACAGAAAACAAAACAGATTCAATATGACGTACAAGGCAAAATATAGGTGAAAGTTAAATGAATGGAGCACAGAAAAGCAGTGATGACACCAGGTGTTCGCAAGGATCAGCAAGGGTGGGCAACTGAAAAGGCAAGAAAAACATGAAACATGAACATAAAAACATTTTCTCAGAGCACATATTACTGGATTTCTGAAAATGAATTAAATCTGATGTTATTTTTGTTTAACAACCATTTGAGTATCTGAGAGAGTGAGTAAGTGAGTGAGTTGGGTTTAACGCCATGTTTAACAGTATTCTTGATATTTTATGGCCGGAAGGCGTTTATAATTTTGGTGAAACCCACAAGCAACTTGTAGGGTGCTGAAAAACTTAGAAACACAATCCGGAATTCGAACCCACGATCATAGGTTTCTGGCGTGCCCAAGGGACGCATCTGTGCATAGGGAATTGCGGCGTCTTAGACAAGTGGGCCCCATGATATACAATTATTGTTCATTTATATCCCAAAAGAATCGATATGATCAACTGAGTGTTCAAATTACTTATGTGAGCATGTGCTTGACAGACCGCAACGTAAACCATGGCCGTCCAATAGTCAATAGAAGCTTAACAAGGTAGGCCAAAGTTTTGATTTCAAAAGGGAATATAAATACTTGATGAGAGAGTATTCCCATGTTTTAAATAAAACTATTCACTATGAATAACAAGAAATGCATGAGTTATTGCAGTAAGAATATTATTATAAGGAGGTCACGTATTTCAGCTTTCCTATGGCAGGTGACAGCCATGTTTCCGTCAGCATATCTGTGTCCCCAGTTGGATAAGATAAAAATACACATCTCTCAGGATAGACTTATTATCAATATCAGATTGCTTTGAAAGTAGTATTACAAATGGATATTTATTATTTGTTCACTCAGGAAACTCACGATAGTAACAACACTGGTAATACAAATATTTATAAATCGAGTGTTTACACCAAGCCTTTAATGAGAACAAGAGAGTCTTCAGAGTGAGTAGTAGACTCTATCAAACATTGTTCGGAGCGGCACGGGTGGCCCAGTCGTCTAAACAAAAGCGACAAAGAGATTTCCATATTCATTAAAAAGAAATCTGCTAAAAGCAGTCCATTCTACGATTCCGAGGTACACAGATGTGTTCAAGAAACCTATGATCCAAGGTTTAAACCAAGTTTCGACGTCAGAATCATACCTGTTCTCGAATGTTTAACCAAAGTGATGAATATCACTTTGAGTATTCATCAATGATCAAGCTGACACGCAGTGATAAAACTGAAATAATGTTCAAAGTGGCGTTGAACCTTCCTGAATCACTAAACTTAGTGGATTGACGATTATTGAAAAAAACATGGTCATTTCAACGTCATTTTGTTTGTTTTATTGCAGACACCACCCAGGTCACAGCAGTCAAACAGGGTATGTATTTCGACTATCTTGGAGGTCACGGGTGGCCCAGTCGTCTAAGGTGCCGCAATTCCCTTGCAGAGTTGCGTCCCTTTGGCACGCCAGAAACCTATGATTGATGGTTCGAATACCGGTTCATCCCGATTATGTTTCTGGTTTTGTCAGCCCCATACCCATGCTCGTTCGTTTCACCAAAGTGATGAAAGCCTAAGATATTCATCACTTGGGTTTTGTATAACACGCCGCGATATAACTGAAATGTTGTCGTCAAATCAAATTTACACACTCACTTACTAATACACGAGCCATAGCAGTTAAGGTCCAAGTCCACATGAAGAGAACATTTGGTATATGCAGTTGAACTTAATGAGGACCGACGGCGCTCCGGATTTGTCAGATTATAGAAAGAGATATGACTCCCCTTGTATTTAGATTAGGACACTCAAAGACACATGTACGAAATATCAGTTAAAATAGCAAAACACACATTGATAAAAGAAAGACCCGTTCCTGGGATAATCTTGTTAGGATAGTGTGCATGTTGATACCTCGGGGTATTTGGCTCCGCGGTCGACTGGATACAGCATGTGCCAGGTGGTACAAAAAGACGTTAAAAGATGGTACTTGTTGTTACCCTGACTGGCGATGGGTATTAAGGGATAACACAAGGACTGATCCTTATGTTTTTGACGACCCCAATGTGGTTGCAACACTATAGCCCATACATGTGTACATGTGGTCAAAGTGGTATCCACCCACTTGAAGACCGCCTCCGTGGTCTCCTGGCAGAGCTTCCACCCGTAGAGCGGAACGTCCGGGTTCGATCCCCGGCCGCGTCATACCAAAAGACGTTGTACTTGTTGTTACCCTGCCTGGCGCTCGGCATTATTGAGCTAAAACACGGACAGGTCGGAGTCGGTGTCTAAGTGGGGTATTCATGTTAAACTGCGGCATGGTATCGCAGACGGCTAGCACTATAAATCGGTATCAGTCCGGGCTAGTACAAGAACACACACACACACACACACACACACACACACACACACACTACTTAAGTGCAATAATCTTGGACGCGACTTAAAACGTCCCATTTCACCTCATCTCACCTCATAGTATTTGACTTATATAACTGTCTTGAATTTATTTTTGTCCGTTGATACATTGCCATGGATACAAGAGTGCCTGTGGTGCATGATAATATGCTTATCACTTTCACAAAGTAAATTAATATCTACACATATATATTTCATTACAGTTGCTCTAGCAACACCGAGGTAGCTAGTGACACTGTAAATATATGTTGTTACTAACTGATAGACGTCATTTTTACATCACATATATTCTGATTTACAGCCATCGAATTCCAGGAGGCCGAGCAATTCCAACAGTGTAAGTTTAAACGGATGTTTATTTTATTCTTCTCACATTCATTGGTTGTTATTAGTTATATCACAAAAGTTTATTTATAAAAGTATATTTTAGTCAACTGAACTAAAACTAGATATCATTTAACAGACTTTAACATCGCATTAAAAAATATTTCACTTATATAGCGACGCTTATACTAGTCCGGACGGATGCCGGTTTTATAGTGCTAGCCCATTGAGAAACAATGCCGCAGTTTAACATGGATACCCCACTCAAACACAGTATACTGACTCCGAGCCGACCAGTCCTTGTTTAAGCCACTTAATGCCGAGCGCCAGACAGAGTAACAACAAGTACCATCTTTTAATGGCGCGTGACGCGGCCGGGGATCGAACCCCGGACCTTCCGCTCTCCGGGCGGACGCTCTACCACGGAGGCGGTCCACAAAAAACTAAGTCCCTGTTTTGTCCCCTTAGTGCAGAACGCCAGCAGGGTACCATCTGTTAACCTCTTTTGGAATCACGTGGCCAGGGAATCGAACCACCGACCTTTCTTTCTCCGGGCAGATGCTCTCTCCACACGACCACGGAGGCGGTTACTTATAGCTATAGACACTTATACAAGTCGTAAATACATACATGGATACGGATGGTGTTGTATAGTTGTATATCATGGTCGTGCCAGGAACCGATCTTTTTTTAGATCGAATCCCATATGAACACCGGTTAAGATGTTTGTTTGTACTTATGTTGGTGTTGACGTCACTTTGAATGATCCCAATACTCGGACACGCTATTACAACTGAAATATTGTCAAACGCGGCGTCAAATCTACCTCACATAGTCACTAATGCGAGTATACAATGAGATGTGTTTCGTTTTCGTTCCAGACACCACAACGACAATCCCCACAAGCCAACAAAGTGAGTATATGCTTTCTTCATTACATTAAAAAAAACATACATCATGATGTATTTATAATTGCTCTATTGATATTTTAAGGCAAGTATTACCCGAAAAGCGTCTCTATAAAGGCGCTCGAAGGACTTTTTGGTTTTTGTATTTAAATTTCATTCGGTCGATTACAACATGATTCTTTTTAAGTCATTGTAGATTTTTTTCATAATAATACAAACAAAGTTTGTTTTTTATCCTGTATTCACATTCTTTGCAAATTGTTTAAAAGGCGGGTGCTACCGGTAGAGCAGACATGCTTACCCTTTTCGCGAACACCTGGTGTCATCACTGATATTTGGCGATCCATTCATTTAATTGTCACGCTGTTTTGCCTTAAACACTCAATGGAAACTTTTTCGCAAGATAATCAAATATTCTCTGACGCTGATGTTTGTTTGTTAGTTTGTTTGTTTTTTAACGCCGCACTCAGCATTATTCCAGCTATTTGACGGCGGTCTGTAAATAATCGAGTCTGGACCAGACAATCCAGTGATCCCATCATGAGCATCGATCCACGCAATTGGGATACGATGACATGCATCAACCAAGTCAGCGAGCCTGACCACCCGATCCCGTTAGTCGCCTCAAACGACAAGCATAGTCGCCTTTTACGGCAAGCATGGGTTGCTGAAGACCTATTCTACCCCGGATCTTAACGGGTCTCTGACATTGATGCTTTGTATATACAAACCCGTTATAATTTCAGACACCACAAAGAACCCCACCCCAGTCTAACAGGGTAAGTATATACCCACTTTAGTATATACCACTTCTCTGCAGTGATTATTCAATACGCCTTAACACCAAATCCCCATATAGCACAAAGCATGTTACAAGTAATTGTGTTCAGAGGAAAGTCTTGTGCATCACGTAAATGTGTTTACCCCAACATATGCTGCAGGATACAAAAGCAAAACTTGCTTTTACCCTCTTAAATAAAACGGATCCGTTTATGAAGCATTTTATAATAACAAATGATATATTATAGTTCATACGATATATTATGCTTTAGAAATTGACAGTTTACAGAAAATATATTTTATTCCTTTGATAAAAGGAGATGATTTTTGTTGTTTTTGAGTCATTGTGCTATGACCATCTTCTTAACAGCACGGCGTGTATTATAATGTAGTTTATATTTACCAGAACCTTTACGAATGTACTATTAGTATTTATAGCAAAAAAGGATAGAATTATCATTAAACCGTTATCAAAAATGATGGGGCCTCTGTAATTTTGATAATGCCCTCATATTGCTTGACGACGGGCCATTATCACGCCCGTTGTAAGGTGACGTCATAGGATAGGGATAGGTGACGTCACGTTGAATAGTGCCGTCATCTGGTTTGTTCTTTGACGTTTTCATTTTTATAAGTGGGCCAGTGGCATTCATGTTGATTGCAGTAAATGTTTCAAAACCGATATTGTTGGGTTTTTTATTTGATAACAAATTCCATCCATTTTAGCTATAATAAGGGTAACGCTATTTTTCAGGGCATTATCATTTGCAGAAGCCCTCGGTCTTTTCAACTGCCCTCCTTCGTCGGGCCGTCAATGGAAGACCTCGGGCTTCTGCAAATGATAATGCCCTGAAAAATAGCGTTACCCTTATATCAATTGTATATTTTACATTTTGCAACATGCATGCATATTATGTTGGTAGTTTTATTATCTAGGAATATTAATTGTTTCTATACATTATTTGGCGATTTAAGAGCAGGTATAAATTACCATGGTATAGAATGTAACGCATTGCAAGCGAAACTTCTTATATGTATAAAATTTGCATTGCGATTTATTTTGTATGCAGATCTGGGTATTTGATTCCTATGGTAATTTAAAGACGTTTGAATCTGAAAACAGCAGAAATGAAATAAAAATTTAGATAAAATTTAAATGAATGTTGCTTTTCACAAATTGCATTTCTTCTATACATTATCAAGTGTGTCGTAACTCTCTCTCCTTAAGATAGTACATTATCATTATGAAATGTGTCTCTACAACCATTTTTACAAATGTTAATAATGTATGTAACAATGTGTTTACGCCCGCGAGAGCATTATCATATGGAATATGCATTCGCTCCTTCATATCCACATCATCACTTCATCACCACATTATTATCACAAGTTTTGATTATTATCTATATTAAGTCGATTCTGTAAAAATGCCTCGTAACATTAATCCACGTTTCGCATTATGTAACCATATAAGACGCCATGCTCACAATACTATTTACAATGTATACTATTTAAATATAATCAGTACTTTTTGATAATCCTACCAAATGAAATGTGACAATTTGTATAAACATATGAATGCGGTAGTATTTCAAATTTAATAGGGGTTTTGGAGTAGCCCAGTGGTGAAAGTGTTCGCTCGTCACGTTGTAAACCAGGGTTGGGTGTGTTCAGACCTTTCCTGTGATCCCAACGGGGATATATTTCTGAAATATTGCTGAAAAGCGGTGTAAAACCAAACTCACTCACTCATATTGAATATTTGTTGTTCCAGCCTTCTCGTCCACAATCTAGAAAGGCTAAAAAATACCAGGTATGACATGTACCTTCTGTTACAACCAAGACCTCTGTTCCAAAATGTGACTCTCTAATCTTTAAAACCTCTGTGTATCACCACTGACAAACACATATATATACGTTTGTGTTTAAACATTTTATGTTCAAGGACTGGTAATGTAAATAGCATGTTTGTTCTTCTTTGTCGACCACTAATGTACTAAACAGTTCGTCTTTTCATCTTGTGAATAACGCATGTGAAATATATACTTACATTTATATATACATTGAGAGTATGTAAGCGAGGAGGTACTATTTAATTGATGTGTTGAGAAATATGTTATGTTCATTTTGGGCCAAGATTTTGATTTCTATAATTGTATATTGAATTACAGCCAAGCAAAGAACCTTCTGCTTCTGATTATAACGATAAGGTATGACACATACCAACTATCTATGCATACCTCTTTGTATGCTATATTATAGCACCCTGTGTATAGCTCTATCTCACTGGTGTACTGAGCGCCTGTGTCACGTCTTCTTCTGACAAATGCCAATGGTTACATATATTCTCGTCAAATTGACATTAATTCTATGCAAATAATTCAACTCGTTTAATAAAAAAAAAATTTTTTATGCCAATTCATATTTATAAAAATAATCATTATTAGATTTAATTGATATATAATTGATTCTTCAAATGAAAAAAATGATAAATGTTGATATCCATCCTTTCTGAAGACAATTCTCTGTGAATACATGTGTGAGACGTTTTCCAATATCTACAGTGCTTCAATGATCATTTTTTATATATAGTAATTACTTGATTAAACTAAACGTTTTGTTCTCACTGCACACTCATCTTCCTTTGGCTTTTAAGTGTCAGGGCTATGTTGTGTCCTCGATCGTTAACTTGCAACCCGGGGCTACACCTTAATGTAATCATTAGTCATATAGATTGCAAGTGCTTTCCATGGTGCTGGGTTGCTATTACAATTAAACAGATATTATGATCCCCTGTATTGCCATGGCAGTAAATAATGTATTTCTCCCAGGGATACAACAACAATATATGATTAAAACTCGTTGTCAGACCATAAAGTAGTTCATGTGTAACCTTTACAAACAATAGCACCAGGTTAACAGATGTCTCCATCCGTAGGGGCTGTTCTCAAACACATATTCCCATGGGAAAACGAAATTGTGATAGTATCGACATTGTAATTAGACCAGTTATAGGATGGCTGTACAGTGTTACTGATTGGTATCCACGTCTATAGTTTCAAATCAAGTTGAAAAGTCAAGGACTCCTTAATGTACGCTGTTGCTCTCTATTGTTTCCCAGGGTGAAATATCATAGTTGTTCTTTTCAAGTGTTGGGTACTGTAGGTCAAGTCACAAGACAGCATATCCGCTCTACACTCAGTTGTTGTACTTCAACATGGCGTAATAGTATGTCACAAACTGTCCAAATTCACGAACACTCACGAAAACATTTTCAAATAATATCACACACATTGGACGAAACGTAACGTTGTTATTTCAAAGCATACGTTAAAAAACTCAAGGAATATTAATTACAATCACAACACATGCATAAACTACCGTGCGATAATTTGCTCTCGCGGGCGACTGAACAGAAGCAGGAGACGTTATCTCCTCTTGTTGGAATCTTTCTAGTATCGGGTAGATTGTATATTGTCCACAGAACAAAACCCCGTACGATCGTGGCGGCAGCAAGTCGTCCTTTGAAAGCGTTGACCTGCCCCCATTTGATGACGATGATCAGGAGAATAAGAATCCTACCCCGAAGCCGACTAAGCTTGATCATGCTCACAGTTCAAGACCAGGAAGTTCCCAGAACAGAATTTATCGTAAACAAGCGGAGGCAACCAAGGTACGCCAGCGGTCGCAGAGCGTATCATCAATTAGTGACCAAAAGCATGAATTTAAAGGATCATATGTATCTAAACTTGAACCTGGCTACACTAACATCCCTGAAATTGTGTCCACAAACTCACAGCATGGGAATTACGTCTACCTCAGTAGGTCTAAATCTGACCCAGACCTATGGTTCAATAAGTCTGACACGGAGACCGAGGAGTCACGAGGTCACATGGACAAATCCGGTGACCTCCGGAAACGAATAAGGAAGAAACGAAATCGGAGGTCAGCAAACGACCTTGACCTAGCTCAGAAGGTGTTCCTGAGGCGCCGCGTGATGGCATTTGTCGATAAGGTGACTAAAAGACGACGTCATTGGCGCGTGACAGACGTAGGAAAGAGTTCAGACTTCTGGTTCAGATAATCCTCAATCTCATTTAATCTTATCAAACCATTTTCTTGTTCAACCATAAATACTAAAACATCTTCTACTTTCCTTTCTGGGAAATGACTTTTGTGCGTATTCATTCCATTGGCATGTCAAATTGGATTAGGTATGCATAATATATCTCAAACCAACTGTGGCTTTTGTTTTGTTCCGTGTCACTTCCCTTATGTTAATGTAGACAGCGATGCAATTACTGTTTGAATTCAAGTAGCACAGCTAGTATATCGATTATCTTCACAGCATTAGTCAAGCCCTAATTCAGCTTATCATGACGATTTGCTTTATCTAATCCATCACCTATTCATCTCCGAGTGAGCACGTGTCAGACTTGTTGCCATAGAAACATGACATCATATGCTGTGTGTCTTTCCTGCGTCTGTATGTGCCGTCAATATCATGGAGGTCTGTAGCTTGGTTTGATGACTTAATATTTCTTCTCTATATGTATTGTTTAATTAATTTACGTTTCACAGGGATATTTTATTCGGTTCGTGAACACAACAGAACGTCTTTCGCATATTACAAGTGTCTAGATGTCTACATACCACGGTACTGCTTATTTGTTCAATGTGCGACTGACTATAAATTATATTGAGCAAGCGAATGGGAAGTACATGAGCAATGGCAGTGTAGTTTTTGATCCTGAGAATTAGGTCTCTACCATCTGAGTTGTTATGTTGTCCCCGAGGGCTCTGCCGACATGAAGATCAATAAATCTATAAAGTTGTCCTCTTTGTCACCTGCGATTGCAAACACATCAACAATCACATGGGATTACTCTGTTGCGTTGGTGACAGACAATAGAAGTCTATTGGAATGGTGAATGAGCAAACTGTCATTGAATAAACTACATGTGCAGATGTTTCTTGTTTCAAATAACCCCTTATTGAAATATATACAGCATGATATGTACATTTTTCGTTCATGTAATATTTACTACTAATCTATATGTGTCGATATAGCCTATGGTATATCCTAAGCATGTCAATACAGCATTGTACGTAATCACAGTCTATATATGTGTCTGTCCTATGTACATCTTATCAACAGAATGATATATATGTTTCATCACTACAATAATTTTGTATGTTATCAAACACTACCAACTTCTATATCAGCACTTTCAAGGCATTTCCTTCTGTTATTTTTTCATTTGTTTAACGAGTCAATGTCATTTCTGAAATTGATTTTCAGTACATGTTTGATAAAACCTTTATCAAATATCATAAATGTGTATTATTTGTATGGTAGATGTACATTTATGTAAATGTTACGAGTACTAAGTTCCAAGCTTGTTTGTCATCAATATCAAACTGCAAGTGAAGAGCATATAACACGTATTGATGTTAAGAATGAGAGATTCCCTTCGTTCCAGGCTGAGGATCCCACAACAGCCCGAGATGTGTATGTAGAGATGGGAGACGAGGAACGGGACAGTGTAAGTTGTACCTCAAACTGGTGTCAACGATACATTTTTTTATTTTATTTTATTTTATTTTTATTTATTTTTTTTTTGGGGGGGGGCCATCATTCCGTGCATTGCCCGTGTCACAGATCTATGATCGTGGGTTCGAATCCCGGTTCCTAGTCACCGTACCCGTGCTCGTTGGTGTCGTGGTAAACGCCTAAGACCTGCCTCAATACGGTCTTTATATGACGTTTGCGATAAATCTGAAATACTATTTAAACGGCGTTAAATCAAACGCAGTCAAACGCAATCAAACTACCGATATTACAAAGTCCAAAAAAACCAAACAGACTAAAGGTATTGTGATTGACACTGATAATAATGTTAATAGAGATATGAGGCATTTACATTGAAAGCAGAAACCACAGGAACCATACGAGTTCTATTACATTTAGGAACGCCTCCGTGGTCGAGTAGATAGAACGTCTGCCCGTATTAAAGACGTCAAAAGATGGGACGTGTTGTTACCCTGCCTGGCGCTTGGCATTGAGGTCGGCTCGGAGAATGGGCATCCATGTAACACTGCGGCATGGTATTTCTGTGGGCTATCGCTACAAAGCCGGCATACGTCCGGGCTAGTACAACCACGACACATTACCTATTTACCTATATTGTATTTACTTTGTCGTCCTATTTAGTCAGCATGTGGGACTTGATTTATGTGTGTATGTTTTCAGCCGAAGAGGATGTCCAGGAATCAGTCACGGCAGGATGACTTGCCACCTGTAAGAGAGGCAACTCCTCGGAGAGCAGATCGCCCCTTGTCACGAGCAGCCTCAGATCTCAACAAACATTCCGTGGTTCCTCCCATTAACAAAGAGGATGACAGCAGAAACAGTAGAAACAGCAGACATAGTACACCAGACCAAAGACAGTCCAGTAGACCTCCGAGTAATCAAAACAGGACACCTAGTCGAAATAATACACCATCATCTGACGATGCTCGAGCAACGATTCTTTCTCCAAGAAATCAGCCCAAACCAAATACACCTCCTCGGATGGAAGCCGCAGTACCTTCTTCAAGCAACGCTGATGACCAACCCATAGAGCGGGCAGGCCCAAGCAATGTACATTCATCAAGACCCGATGACAACCCAACAGACGATTATGACGATGATGATGACTCTCCTGAGCCGGACATTCCTGCACGAACACCAAAGGTGAGGGAAGAAGATGGTCGTATAGCTGCCTTGGAAAAACTTGCGGATTATAACTTGAAGACTTTGGCTGGGCAGGACGCGGGCGAGGCACCTGAGATTGACGATAAGATCATGAATGAAGTGTTTAGTCCGGAGTTCCAAAAGGATCTTGACAACTTCTTGAAATCATGATTTTGATATTGATTTTGATGCCCAAGGTTGCATGTTGCGAAAGGTTCCAGAGCTCCAAAAAGAGCTTCATCACTTCTTAAATCATGATCATGGTTTGATCTTGGTGCCGAAGGGAGGATGTGACACACATTTGCTGGGACAAATTTGGGAGTTCCTGTTTTTTGTAATCAGTACACTATGTCAGTTGTACTAAAACAGCACTTACATCTTAGAACATGTGTAGGAGTGTGCATGTTTGTGATGCAGTCATTCCTGAAGTCATACCTTTTAAACAGGGGGCAACCATTTTGATAGATCATCAACATCAGAGTCACCATGGTATTTGTCTAACCACTCTTGTGATCAGTGATTTGTATCATATAAAACATGTCCAAATTGTGAAGGTTTTCTTGAAAAGTATTCCCAAGGTGACCTGTATTTTTCTATAACGAAATGCATATGTGTATGTACCTACGTAATATCGTTTACATGTAGTTTTGGAAAGTATCCCCTTCACGATTAGAAATCAATTCGCCCTATAGCCGGAATATTGCCGATATGACGTGTTATTACATTTACAAGATATATCTTTTTTGTCGTGGCTTGGGAAAGGGTCACATGATCCTTAAAACACGGTATTACCCCGAGACCCAGTTTCTTAGGTCCATAAAACGTCATATTACCCTCATGAATATTCAATATTTGATAAAAACAATTCTCTCAATACAAATTACATTATAACGATCTTTTTAATACGTTTTTCTTATGCATCATTTTACGTTGTTAGTGCTCATAATATGCATATTTTGTTACAACATAATTGTACAACTGGGGGAAAATGAAGCGGGAAAAGCCAATAACTGATAAAAAATATTTCAACTAAACTCACTCCAGTGTAAGCTGCTTTCTTCAGAAACAGGGGAACTTGATTCTTACAAACACGGAGATTAGATTGGCAATTGACATCCATGTGCCCTGCGTTCTCACACTTTTCCCGTTCAAAGGTTTATACCATTTATACTAAGGCTGCATAAAAAATGCTTCTTGGGCACATTTTTCCTCGAAAGTGAGGAGGGCGGTAAGACTTTTTTAATTTTTGTATCGAAAACAACAGTGATGCGAGAGGAACATTTTTTAATATATTTTTTACCCACCAAGAATTCCAACAGAGAAACTGGGCAGACATTGAACTCGGCCTTTTGACAGCATGTCAGTTTCAAGCATTTTGTTTTATGGATAACAGAGTGTGCTTCATATGAAATTTGAAAACTTCTTATTGGCAGTAGAGAAGATTTAATGTGACGCACTGATGTTCGAGAAACAATTTCCTTATTTCAGCCTAAGCTATATACGCATATCCATCGACTTTCCGTTGAATAATACATGAAACGCAATGTGCAGTTGATGACGGCATATCATAATGTCATCTATTATTACATGAGGGTTATAAAGGTCATATTAACAGCTATCACTGAAAAAGCAGATGTCGATACCCGTACAATATCAGCTTTTGTTATCAAAACTAAAATATATATTGAGTCTTGTGTAGCTGGCGTGACGATACTAACGATTTACCTGATATTTAAGCACAATACTATCTATAAGGAGTATTTCTTACAATGTAATTTTTGCATTAAACTCCAATCTATTTCACATTACGATCACTCCTCCACCTTTGAATATAGGCCTATAAATATGTTCACTGTTACGAGTGTTTTCCCAAGTGTTTAAAGGCTTTTGGCAACAACTCTCCCTTCAAACATGTACCGAGTAACCACAAACCCCTTCCAATGCAGTGTGTACTGTCTCGTTCGTTGTCCCAGTTGATTGACCAGGTAAACACTGTGTGTGTTGTTTGTAACTAGACACTGTCCAGCCCAACACCATTTGTCTGCTGAGTTTACAAGTACACGAAACGTGATCCCATTGTCTGTGATATTAAAATTTCTGTATTCATATTTTTGGAAAATGAATTTCAATAAAATATGTTTCTTGCATTTCTCGTCAATGAATATTACAACATGATGAAACTGGACTGTCATAAACTAGCCTATTGACACACAGCTATTCAGGAATACTACCAGTTGTTTCCCTCTGGCATGATTGATATGTTCACTGCAAATTACATCACCAGTGCAGGTGAGTGAGTGAGTGAGTTGGGTTTAACGCCGCTTTTAACAGTATTCCAGTTATATCAAGGCGTGTCAGCTTAATGTGGGAGGAAAGCCCGAAGTGATGCAGGTCTCAGACGTTTACCACTACGGTTGAGCCCACGAGCATGGGTTAAGGGCTGACAAACCTAGAAACATAATTGGGGCGAACCGGGATTCGAACCAACAATCATAGGTTTCTGGCGTGCCCAAGGGACAGCGAATCGCGACGAGTTAGACGACTGGGCCACCCGTCTGGGCCCGTCTGGGCCACAATCACCAGATTGCTCTCACGACACCGACAGACAGATCACAAAGAAGACGGGGCAGGCAGGGCACATGGTTGACAATGAACAGACCGAGGACAGGTAGACCATTAGTCACCACACCCAACGATGATCGCTATTTGCGTATTCTTTATTTGATTAACTGTTTCCTAGGTACATGTGTATCGTCGTCGGGAACACACGCTCGTCTCTTCGTTGAGTCCAGGACACTCTACTATGTGGATTTGGGCAGTAGTTTCTGATCAGGAAAATACTGAACTTGTTGCTTTGGGCGCTAATCCCTCAGTACAATATATATATTGCATCCAGTTGTGCTCCCCATTCAACAACAGAACCGACGTACACTGCAAGACAACATAGATGACGGAGATGTATCGCATGTCGCCTTCTGCAGGTCAACGATGTCAACGTTTTGCCTTGGCCAGTTCGTTCTCCTAACATGTCACAAGGACGTGCATGTATTGTACCTCACTGTCTACAGGTCAATAGCGTCAACGTTTTGCAATGGCCATTAAACACCCCTGGGACCGCCTTGATCGTCAGACGACAACACGACTGAACCTCCTTCAGACTTGACCTAACACAGGCACTCATAGACAAATGGCGCTGAACACCGAATGGCGTAACCCGAAGTCTAACGAACTCTGCAAGACGTCGTGTGTGGCTTTTCCTCGTCGGTGTGTTGTGGTATGCGACTCTTCCAGGATCAATTGTATTCGCCGGGGAATTATCAGACTTCACGACACACACACACGCACACGCACACGCACACGCACACACACACGCACGCATGCACGCATGCACACACACGCATGATATCATTTTAATGACGGGCCTGTTTTAACTGATCGTAGGCAACATCCCCAAGGCGTATAAAGAAGTGAGTCTGAGTCTTATTTGATATTCGATATACCCCACACGTAACTGTGCATATACCAGAGCCAAGGCATATTATGCAATACAAGAATAACTTTTTCTGTCACCCGTATACATATATACACCACTATCAAACAAAACAATTTTGCAATTAAATGAAATACATTAGAACATCCGCTACATCCCAGCCTCGGGCACCAACCCATTGACACCGCCATCCACACATAGCACAAAATAGTGGTACCTAGTTACTACAAGTGAAAGTACTTGAATGTGTATTTAGGTAGGTTAGTTAAGGCAGTTTAATACTGTGAATGTTCTTTTATGCAAGCCACATGTTTAATACGTTAGATGCGACAGTTTAATAAAAAGTTTGGTTGTAGACTAAAAGTGAGTGCAAAGAGTCCACGGGGACTGCCAAAATCGCGCCAATAAGAATTCAATACTAGCTGTACTTGTAGACAAGATAAAATTATTATTTTGATTTTTAAAATTTGGTTCATGGGGCAGTGTTCGTCTCCATTTAATTTTCTTCATCAGCAATACTCCAGTAATATCTCGACGATCTACAAATAATCGCGTCTGGAGCACATACATGTCTGGTCTGGTGACACCCTTCAACCAGGCCATCCATTAGTCGCTTCTTAAGTATATGTTACTTGGAATAATTCGTCCCCGGAATCGCAACGGTGTTTGTGTCCATTTGAAAGTAGTGAAACATGATGTATAATAACAAGCCTGTTTTTTCTGATTACAGGACGCATCCCCAAAGACATATGTTATCGATTTTGGCTTGAGCAAGCTATTTATGTTTCTCCGAACCTAACGAAGTCTATAATTCAGTTCGATGTACCCTACACGTCACTGTATGCATACCAGGGTCTAGGCGCAGTTCAGCCTATATACCCTACACGCCACTGTATGCACACCATAGTCTAGGCGCGTTTTTTCGCTTTTGTATCAGTATATTTGCTGATTGTGTATTGATTTGCAGCTTTGGCACATTATAATAGTTGCTTGGTTACTGTGACAATCAGGCAATTACATTCCTGACATGTACGCTTTGTATCCAGATTATCTTTAATTATCTTAATGTCGTCTGAACAACCAGTATTTTGAATAAACTGGCATTTCATTTGTCTCAGGATAAATGTTACAAGGACAATAACAAACATTTATTCATAAATGGACGATACAGTAAATTTAGTCACGTAGTGACCATCATCACTCCATCATGGGAATCCTGATCGGAGACAAATGACCCGACGGTATGTAGACACAGACAGGGCTATGTACCTAGGACATGAATGTCACACATCTGGTTCATTCCGATGCAAACATGTCTTGGCTGACTTGTTTGAGCAGCAGTCGATAATTTAGCTCGTTAAATGTCTTGTGCTGTCTTTGTTAAGTTTCCGTGATCCATTCATATAATTTCATCACTATTTTGCCTTTTACGCTCAATGAAATATGCTTTGGGCATATAATAGAGACTGATTATTCCCTGGCGTTGACGTTATATATTTTTAAACCCAGCTTAGAATGAATAATGTTTTGCAACAAACACATTGAAACATGTAGTAGTAAAATTTCTCGGGGACGGTATGTACTAAGTCTCCCGTCGACATTCTTTGTTAATAAAAGCAACAAAAAGCATTAATTTTCCATTGTAATATGAAATCTCTTCTGAAAGGAGAGTCCATCATGAGCATGTGTTTATGAATCATTATCAAATACTGATGATACCAGGGGTCTGTGAAAAGTTAAACGTTTAAACACTCTTAAAAGGCGTGTGTACACCTTTGTTATTTTTATGTCCACAAGAAGGTGGGCGTATCCTGCCCCACAGACGGCATCCGTCACAAAAAAAACATGCAAAACAAGTCAATTGTTCACTTGAAAACACAAGGAACATGTAGTACAAGTCAAAAAGAGAATTGCATGGGACAACATTTTGGGCACCGGGCTTGAATGTAATAACCCTGATCCAACACCTTTTAAACAAGAGTTGTATGTCGCTCTTTGAAATCTTTGTAGAAGGAACATCCTTGATTGAACCTCAAAGGTTGTTAAATGTCGACACCAAAGGCTAGAGCAGCTGGGCATAAAGGGAAAGTTGATTGTTGGAAAGTCATCCCTCTTGACCAACAGCCTCATTTATGGAGATCTACATATGAAATAAATGATGCAGTTTCACTTGTCTCTTTTATTTTGTAGTTCTTTTGGATAAATCAGTTGAATGGAATTTGCGTTTTGGTTGATTGAGTGATATCAGATCATCGACATACCTAAATGATCCGATGGTTACAATTTTTGACCTGGTTGGTCGACATTCTATGTCGTTGCTAATGCTGTTGCCTCTGATCTGCTTTGTCCAGATTCGATTTGTGACGTGACAGAGTGGTAGAATTAGAATATTGCTGTGCGTACAACATACATTGAGTCACTCACCGCCAGTACACCAAAGAATGTGTCATTTAAATAATAAGTGCTATTTTCAACATTAAAAAAATGACCACAAAGCATGCAGAAAAGGGTAAAGTAAAAGACTTAGTACTGTCATTTTTTAGATTCCGGACTTTCATTCCTTTGTGTAACGCCTCGTACACTTCGTATCTGTTTCGACAATTTGATGCAGAATGAATCAAAAACCATTTAATTTGGAAGGGAACTGACACAGAAAATCAAATTATTAAGGTACAGAGCAAAAGACACTGAAGGCAAAACATATCCCTCTAAAGTATCTCCCTTCAAACATAATTGTGAAAAAATGAAATACTTATAAATATCTATATCCGCATACCGGCGGATTGGTGTTTTCGATAAAAGAATGTTGGTATTATCAAGTCATAAAGCACTATATTATCAATATCTTCAAACCAAACCTAAATTTGAAAAAAGTCTTTACCTTTCCAAAAGTATTCATTTACCTATTCTAAAATTTAGAACCTGTTACCATAACCAACCAATACACACAGGGCGTTGTCAAAATGTAAGCAGGGAAATTAGATTTTGCCCACTATATATAATTCTACAACTATCCGAGCAAATGCATTTCTTTCTTATATTGCGCATGGACATACTATTGTGACGTTTACACCCCCTAATCAAGTCATATTTCAGATACATGTGATATAATTGAATCAATCCTCTCCATTGGATAAACAAATTAACACATACCACACCGTCAATACAGAATGTTCATGGGTCGATCCAGCGTGGTCAAGTAACGGAAACTGGCAATAAGTGGCTATTCCAATCTGGATGTTTCGTACAATAGCAGGAAATGAGCCCACTCGTATGAGACAACCCTGCAGGACACCTCTTATGTGGGATGACGCTTGGCCCCACAGGCCTTCAAATTGCTGGCATGGGAATCGCTGACTTCAGAGTTGATTAATCAACTGACCGATTCACCTCTGCTTGGTGGTTTATTGGTTTGAAGGCATATTATATTTATTCATTCAGACGCTCAAAGGTTAACTGTCGCCGTCTGCATCGAAATGTAAGTAGTTGCCACCACGTGTTTGTTCACGTTGTTAATGTATTCGGTATAATGAGCATATATTTGTTATATTATTTGAAAAATAATGCGTTGTTTAAATATACATTGAATTTCAGGAAACGTTACAGTGAAATTATATATGTCAATAAAGGGAGGATTGAAATGAAGAATTTGCCGGG